AAGCTCTATTATCTAGCCTGATATATGCATAGTTAGAAGTAAAATTTGTATAAATTCTTTATGTGGAAGGGCATATTTCAATCACCTCAAAGTGCTAGCATACTGAAAGAAAAAGCAAAGCAAAAATTGCATTGTTTTGATACAATAACTGCACAACCTGCCAAGTGGTAACTAGGCACAACTATGATATTTCTGTGCATGATCAATAATTTAATTTTCACGAATAGTATTGGCTTCTTTGAGGATATGTTTGTCCTAGAATATTCAAGTAGTCCAGACTACTATAGTTCTGTAAGCTTGGCATTTGAAGTAGATTACTGTGATAGTGAAACACAGATTCCATTTATAATCTTGTTAATTCCCATGTTTGTTGTGACAGGAGAAAAGTTCAAACTGTTGTGAAGGCATCTCGAGTTGACAAGTTCTCTAAATCTGACATTATTGTTTCTCCATCAATTCTTTCTGCTAACTTTTCAAAGCTGGGTGAGCAGGTACTTATTTCTATCTTTTTTTTTTAATTTTTTTTTTATTTATTTATTTACCTAGAAGCATTTAGATAGCCTTTATTAGCTTGATTGTCTGTTATCATTCTAGCTATATTAACTTAGGTGATATTCTCTTACAAATCTTTCCTAAGTGTTATTTATGGAATATCAATTGTATCTGATGTTATGTGTTCTTGACTTCTTGCTTGTAATACTTCTAGGTAAAAGCAGTTGAATTGGCTGGTTGTGATTGGATCCATGTTGATGTAATGGATGGTCGCTTTGTTCCAAATATCACTATTGGACCTCTGGTGGTTGATGCTTTGCGGCCAGTGACAGATCTCCCACTTGATGTGCATCTGGTAATTTCTCTTCCAGACATACCGCATTTTATGATTCATTTTGGGTACTATGCTTACTTGAAGTTGATTTGTTTGTAGATGATTGTAGAACCAGAGCAGCGAGTCCCAGACTTCATCAAAGCTGGTGCTGATATAGTGAGTGTTCACTGTGAGCAGTCATCCACCATTCATTTGCATCGGACCGTAAATCAAGTAAGTTATTGGAATATTGGATAAGCATTATCTTTCTAGGCTTATGTTTCTCTTTCATTTTATTTATTTATTTGCTAGATAATGTTATCATATAAATATCCTCATTTGGCACTTACTAGATGCAAATTCTTAAAGATTGGTTTATTTAATAAGATGGTTTGAGTAACCCCATATTAAAGTGTCACTATTCCATGAGAACTTGTCCACTCTTCCCCATGCCCATTAAAAGTAACCCATATGTTGGTGTAGCTTCATCTGGCTTTAAAAATGTGGTTTTTACAAGAGGAATGATTCTTGACTGTGATTGCAATTGGTTGCACTTAGCCACTTGTACCAAAAAAGGAAATCTAATCGGTGGTAATTTACGTTTATTCTGTACAAACCAAAATAAATAATCCTACACTTAAGCCACCTGGTAAGTTTCGCTAGATGGAATCTCAGCGAGCTAGAGCAAGTAGAAACCATGCAAGAATGCTTCAATGAAGAATTGAGAATTGGGAGGGTCAAAAGATGTGTTGAGTATTAATCTAGGCACTGACCTCAGTCAGCTGAGATTTCATAATTCTGCTTAAAATTATTCCTACATTATGTTATAATCCTCTAGTATTTCCTTCAAGGGATTTGTTGTTAAGATATTGTGGAATGTGGGTCACTTGTTTTCGGGAAAGCCTTTCTCAAGAACTTGGCTTAGAAGAAGGTCTGAGATTTAGCATCTGTAAAATCTGACTTAAATTTTACAATGTGCCAAGCAACTGTTAATTGTGACAATCTTATGTTCCCCAGAATTATTTACTGAAGGTTTTTATTAAGTTATTCATCCAGTTGATCATGAAACTCTGAAGTTAAATTTTTATACTTGACTGGTTGTATTAGCTACTTATATGAACCCCATGGACAAGATGTGCTCTCAGAACTTTGCACCAAAACTAGGATAAGACAGAAAACTTGTGTGACACCAAGGCAATTTTATTGGGAAACTAAGTTTATTTGTCCTGTTGTCTCCAATCGCTACACAATACTTCCTTGGCTATCTCGCTCGTATACCACTATCACCTAATCCTCCCCCCCCCCTGGCACCTGCAGGTCCAGCACCAATGAGCATAATTCTAGCAGTGAATACGCTCAAATTAGAATTTTTCAGATTACATTGTCAATTTTGTAATAAATTATATTCTTTGTCAATTATCTTTCGTAATACATACCTTAAAGCCAATCTTTCAGTTTCTAAATTTTAATTTATATGCTTCAGATCAAGAGTTTGGGCGCTAAAGCAGGTGTTGTTTTAAACCCTGCAACCCCGCTAAGTACAATTGAGTACGTGCTTGATGGTAAGTCAGTATTCTCTTGGTGGAATGGACTGAAGTCCAAGCTTGACTCTTTACTACTTGATTTTTTAGTTGGTGTGTCGTATGAATGGGATATCATAAGGCAGGGAGAGTGTGCATAGCCTATTGCTGTCCTGTTCTTATTTTCCTGGCACCTGTCCAGTGTCCTGAAACGTGATTGCAAATTCATTTAAGTTCCCTCAGCAGGACACTAGATGGATGTACTTGGACGATTCTTTATGCAATACAACTTACAAGATGATTGTTAATAACAGTGGTTGATCTGGTCTTAATAATGTCCGTAAACCCTGGTTTTGGTGGACAAAGCTTCATTGAGAGCCAAGTGAAGAAAATCTCAGATCTAAGAAGAATGTGTGTAGAGAAGGTATTTGTGAAGTTTCTTTGTTTTCCTTTATTTCCTTTAAAAAAAAAATAGCTTGATATCAAACAGGTGTCATAAATTCCCATATAATTGGCAGGGGGTGAACCCATGGATTGAGGTTGATGGTGGAGTTACTCCAGCAAATGCATACAAGGTAGTTTTTATTTTATTTAATTCTCATTAAAAGTTTGTAGATAAATGCAATCCTATTGAAAAAATCATTTAAGTGACCAAGAAAAAGAGGGCAGTGCACATTTCAATTGGCTCCTTGTCAAATTGAAATTTAGACGACTAAACCCAAATTTTCTGTTGCTGGTTGTTTGTGATAGAGTATATAAACCAATCCTGGGCTTCAATAATTAGCTTAAGCTTTTGGTTGAGAAACTTGAGATGATTCTTTAGCAGTTTGCTTCAATTAAAAATGCATTGCAATTTTTATCCCATCTTGACTATATTAGGATGTGAATATATTACGATGCACGTCCAGGTGTGCCTGTTTTTAAAAGCTACAGTGGTGTTTTTAGTGCCTTGTTTTTTGTTTTCACATAGCAAGTTAAGGCCCACCATGTAAGGTCACAGGTTACATAACCCAATGGCAGGCCCTCCAAGCCCCCAACATGTCTCAGTCCTTTCATTTGTAGTAACGCTTCCTCTTGCTTGAGACCTTGAGTATAATTTTTTGATTGCTAAAATCACAACTACAATCTGCATACGCCGGTGTTATTTTTGTTAGATTTGGCGAACATAATGATTTTTGTTTAATTCTGCAGGTCATTGAGGCTGGAGCCAATGCTTTAGTTGCTGGTTCTGCGGTCTTTGGAGCTAAAGATTATGCTGAAGGCATCTAATATACTGCCCTTGTACATTTTTCCATTTGTATAGTTAGCATCGCTTCATCTTAACTTTTTGAATTGAATCTTGTGCAGCTATAAAAGGGATTAAGACCAGCAAAAGGCCAGAACCTGTTGCAGTATGAGGTTTCAACTGTAAAATTTTGTTGACAATCAAGACCTGGATTCCTAATACAATATCTCCTGTATGTTCCCTTCTCATTTCTTTTTAGATGTCCAGCATAAGATCTTTGCTAGTTCAAATACATCCATTGTGGATGATGGATGACTTGATGAATTAGTTCTATTGACCAATTTCCTTTAAAGGAAGACTTTTGACTTTTCAATCTTTTCACCTTTAGATAAAAGGTAATCGCGTGAAAAAAATAAATGAGCCTCTGTACAATTACATTTTTTTTATAAGATGACATGTGTAATGTGGATGTCAACTAGCTTGGTCAAAGTCTTATCAATGGGGGATTGCTCCAGTCAAAGAGACAGGGGGAGGGTGGAGGTTGATTACCTAGACTCATTGCCCTTATGAAAGCGCTACTCTTATTCGTCTGTGTATGATGTAGTATGTGCATTCGTGGTATAGGAGTCCCTGTATAAGTTCCTTTCAACAGTCTATAAGGTTTCTATTGTGGTATCTGGCATTTTATGGATTGTTATCAAATGTAACATCTAGAGTTGATAAGATTAGACGTTTTGGTCCAATTCTTTTGATGTTAATCTGTATCAAAACCGATTGTGGTATGGAGCTGTGAGAGTTCCATAAAACAGTCTATAAGGCATTTATTCTGGCACGCTATGGGTTGTTATCAAATGTAACATCTTGGGTTTCATATGATTTAGAGACATTAGCACACTTATGCTCCAGCTTTTATGTTAATTTAATGTGTATCAAAATCAAGTGTACTTCTCACATTAATTTCGTTTGTTTCTTATTCCTAGGTCTCGAGCAGATATATATATATACAGCAGCTGTTTGGAACCATTGTATTAATGCTTGAAAATGACATTCAGCAAGAGTGCTTGTAGATTAGAACTCTGATACAGTGTTACATAGTATTGTTTGACACAAGCCTCGTTTATACTAGAATTCTTGGTACATTATTAATTCATAAACATCTGTACAAATATTGTTTGGATTGTATCTACCAATAAGATGAAAACTTAAGCCCAATTTGTGGACTCTCATGCTCGGTCGTTCATCAACATTTGTTATTTGATTTCAAATCATTTTAATTTACAGATTTAATACCCAATGAAACTACGAAAGGGAAAAACAGCAATTCAATCTGAACTCTGTCCATTCTAGACAGTATGGTTTCCAACCCAATCACTTGTAATTTGATGGCTGAATCTAAATACACATTCTCTCATTAAATTTAACTTTGCGACCAATACATACCCAAAAATTCTTTTTGCTAGTGAAAATAAAAGGGGCAGTATAATTTGGAACAAGCAGCAACAGCAAGCCGGAAGTAAACTGATGCAAAACTTACAAATTGCCAGCACTTCCTTCCTCAATACTGAAGAAAATTTGGTTACATTCCGGATGAGGAAGGAGGCTCTCTAGGTTCACTCAGTGCTCACTAAATATATACAAAACTAATTATGCAGAACTCAATAGAAAGGTGTCGATCATCCGACAGTTGACAATTATATATACATTAGAAGTATTCAGAACAGCAATTTCTAACATCCCTTCTACAAACAGGGCAGGAGCTCCGTGTCACAAGCCACTTATCCACACAATTTTGGTGAAACGTGTGTCTGCAGTGAGGCAAACTCCTAGCCGTATCTCCCACTTCAAATTCCTAAGCACAAGTTTATAATTAAAATCAGCATTGTTTTGTTGCTGGGAAATTGGTATTTGGATAAAGCATACTGTGATGGATTTTTCATTATTATTGGGGTGAGTATGAAAAATTAAAGTAAAAACCAAGTAAAGATAGACCTGCAAACATATGGTGCAGCAAATGTTGTCCGCTCCTCTGTTAATATCCAAGATCACATGGCATGGCAACTCCTTAAGTGAATCCTTAGATAACCCTCTCGCAGCAACATCACCATAAATATCATAAACATCGTCATAAATAATGTTGGCGATGCTTGCCTGTGAATTTGCAACGAAATTCATAAATTTCAAATTATACAAAAGACAAATTGAAGCCAAAGATCTCTCTTAAACATTTAATTAGTAGGAACGATGATGTCCATGCTAGATGCAAAGTTAGCATATTATTCTATATCTACTTAGGTATAATCTCAAATAGCTTAAGTAATCTTGTCAACAATCAAGAAAGAGACTGATGTACCAAATAAGTTTACAACACTATGATTTACCTGCCAATAGTACCCAGTAAGGACTGCAGGTGGTAATTGTTCTTCTACAAATCTCCCATGGAGTAGCTCCTCTATGAAATCAGCCTGAAAACAAAGAGCAATTAAAGCAAAGCAACAAAATAAGTGCACCAGCTAGTAAGTAGATATAAATATAGAAAAATCTCTGTTTATCTTGCAACTGGGAATAGGAGAAGTCGATTTAGAAAACAAGACAGTTTCAGCATTCACACAGAATCAATGAATTAATCAAACTCAGCATAAAGTGAAAAACATAGGCCAGATTCATATTTCACCTATAAAGTACTATGTAAGATTTGAGGAAAGGAATCAAAAGATGACACACATGATTTTCAAGAACCCGATGGTAGTCCAGAAACACCTTACATACAGTAGCCTTTAAAAGAAATAAGTATGAGCTTCTGATTTCTATATTCTCGTATCTCAGGCATACATGTCTAGGTCTTCAGAGTATCATAAGAAACAGATGAGTCCTAGCATACTAACCATGGATGAACAAAGTGATCCAGATTGCTGTGAACACCAATAAGCACGAGAGGCCTCCAAAACCTCTACAGAAAGAACAGCACCTGCCACAGCACCCAACCCTGCACCTCTGAGTAATCCATTATCAGAAGCTCTACCAGCTAAAGCTCCAGTGATGGCTCCTGTAAAAGCACCAGCTGCAGAATACAAAAAAAATCAGAGATATAAAGCAATACCATATTGCCATCATGCCGTCTATATTCTCACGCATCCCCTTTTTCCAGCCCATTTCCTCTTTCAAAGAAAGAGAAAATTACAAATTTAGAATGTCAATCAAATACCAAAAAATAAGACTGCCAAGCAAACATTAAAACTCCTACTACACACAGTATTCCAGGAAGTCATGAAAATTTGAAGACTTCATGGACTCATTAGTGCAAAACAAACCATAACCCAAATGGCCTAATCGCCCGTACAAGGTAATAGAGTTGGGAGCTACATATGCATACATTTACGTCTACAAAGGCAGCAAAGAGCAAAAGATGTTCTGAAAAATCGTAGTAGGTAACAGGTCAATTGGAAAACATAAATTTTCTAAAAGTAAGAAACCAAAGCAAATAATCACCCTGTCAAAAAAAATTGCTGCTATGATTGTATTACTACAAGTATAATTTAATTTAGCGATGTGACAACTAGATTTAGACAGAAACCATATCTCATTGTCCCAATTATGAATTTAGGTTCAACCATCATTTCATCAACCCAACTAAAGATCCTTCCAACCATATGTTATTAAACCATGTCACTAGCTCACTACAATAAATTATTATCTATAAACAGTCTTTATAATAAAATAATCATTGTAGGCGAAAAGCTCAAAATCTTTGACTAAATCTTAATGCAACAGTTACAAACTACATATGACTTCCAACAATCATAACCAACACATCATTTCAGTGATATCAAATAGCACATCTCCCATCATTAGAACATCAATCTTTACAATCAACATAACAGATCTACTAATATAACAAAATCAAAATAAAAAAAAAAATCAAAATCTCAAAACTTCAATAAAAAAGAATCCCAAAAAAGACTGAACTTTTTTTGCCAGAAAAAAACAATTTATAAAGAGAGAAATGGAGATTAATACCAAGAGCAAAAACACCAGTGAGAGCACCAGTAACAGCACCACCAATAAACTTGGGAATATATTCATAAACTCCAACATCAGAAGATTCAAAAAACCCATCTCCAAAATCCTCCATTTTTAAGATTAGGTGTCAGTGAAAGAGTCGTTGGATCCAATTCAGAATTCCCAGAAACACCCTCAAATCTGAGACTGAGACTGAGACTGAAAGAGGGAGAAAAACGAGGAAAGAGCAACAGGTGTAGGTGGGGTGGTGGTGGTGGTGGAACCCACATCCAGGATAATGAAAAATGAAAGTGAAAGAGAGAGAATTATCATTTGTACAAATTAGGGGTGCCCAATTTGTTTATTATTTACAGATCCACAGAATTTAGGAAGCATTAAAAAGCTGATAAATTTAGGTTGCTGTTGTTAAATAAGGTACCTCACAGAACATGACTCATTCATCCCCGAATTTTATGTTGATACTGTGTTGAATGATGTAATAAATTCGACTTTTTTAGTCTTTTCGGTAGGAAATTGGATTGAATTGCTTGCTTAAGTCCGTCTTCGGGTATTCAATTGAATATTGAATCTCGTATATATCATTGTCTTTAATTTTATGTATAATGATTATTCAAGATAATTAACATGTGTAATCGTTTTCATTAATCGAGATTTTAGGGTCGATTTCCACAATTTAAATAACTTGTAATCGAATCTCATTTATTTTGCACGGTCTCGATAAATCAACCAATATCATTTTCAGAAGGCAACAAACGGCGGACATCGTGGCTTACTTAATTTATGATATCATAGCAGCTCTTTAATGTCATATCGATTTTCCATTGTAATATTATTGTGCTCTCTTTTCATTTAAATTTCAAGTCAAATTGTCTCAAACTTGAGTAGTAATATGGAGTTAAGAAAAAAGCTGTACAATTTTTTTTTTTACTTAATATTCTAAGTGGTCTATGCTTTTAAGTTTTTAAAGTTCATCAAGGTCTGAAGTAGAGCTTAAGTTTCAAGTAGAGTTCACCCGAATCGATCTTGTACCTGGACCGCAGAATTAATAATATCCCTGTAGCCCCCCGGCCGAGGGCATTTCTGCTTCACTCTGCTCTAAGGGTATAGCAGCCGCCGTTCGAAACAAGTTTCTCACAAGTCGTAGCTTCGCTACTCCGATGTGGCTGTGCTCCCCCCGTGGGTTGGGGGTCGCGTCCTTCGAAAATCCGAATTCGAGGTTAGGGCGAGTTCGGTTTTCTCAGTTGCCTTGTCGCGCGAGAAATTGTATCGAACTGTCCCTTTTTTCCCGTTTTTTAAGGAAAATAAGGGACTGCCCGCTACTATATTTGGTTACCCCCGCCGCGTCGTTCGCTTTTATGCGTGTGAAAGTAAGGTCTCCCCTTCTTCATCTGTAGTATCTCCTCGGAACAAGCCCCGTCCTAAATCGCTAAGGCTCGCAAGGGCCTTTTTGGGGCTTTGGCGTTTAGATCTAGGTTTTACGGCTTCAGTCCAATAACCGAGAGCTAATTTTGCAATTCCTCTGGTTACAGCTAGTTGGACCTTTTACTCACCCCGGAGCAACGCGTTTACACGCTTGTATTTTTCCGGGCACCAACCTTTTCACAGGGCTCAAGGGTAAAAAGTTGTCTATCCCTACAAATAAGCCTTGCCTCGCGTCCTGCTACGTAAGGTAGTATACCTTCTCAGATATCCAAGGAGGGCAACATACATCAGAAGAATCCTTTCACGTGTAGCCAGAGAATTACCCTAATCCCTAGCTAAAGCCCCCGCTTTGCAATAGGTAGCGGTTCTCGGAGGGGCTTTTAGTTGATTCGTGAAATGGTTCTGAAAGGGCCGGTAAATCACCGGCGCACAACCATTTCCATCCCCTCATGGTTGGATCTTCCCTTTTATCTCGGGGAAGGGGGGAAGAGAGGGAAGGAAAATGAAAAGAACTCCAGTAGAGTTAATATAATCTAATGCATTCAAAATGATAGTGAATTAATCATCTCAAGAATTAGCACAAGTTTGTAAGAATCTAATTTTATACTCCAACACCCATCACCACTGCCAGCAAAGTAGCAAACCTCCTCTCCTCCGTCCGAAAAAAGGTCTCACGGGAGGGGGAGGGGAATAGATGGCTATGGAATAAAAATACAAAACCATCACCAAAGATGATTGATGCATGCACTACCCAAATCGGTAGACATGAAATCCTGCTGATCAGCATGAATCAGGTCATCATGCTCTTGGCGCCCTCATTTCAACCAGCTGATGCCTGCACTGTTTTTCATACATCCAGAGATGATCACATTCTAGCTTTGTATGGAACTGTTGCACGGTTGCACCTTTGATCTCCATCATCTAGACCTATTCAACAAGGAAACACAACAGATTGAGGATGATAGTGAAATGCTACTTCTTTGTGTACAGCAATGGATGGATATTTGGTCTAATGAGCAATGAGAAACTGAGAATATTTTCTCATTAAAGTTTCTGATTATAGTGAACGCAATTACGTCATAGGCTATGTTCTCTTCACCTAAAATAAATAAGCTTGGAAAATTTTCTGGAAGTTTTCAATAATTAGGACCACAGAAGTTCAAGTTAACAAATGCAATAAATTCATATAAACTCAGATAAGACAAATTCAAGTAAAAAGAACACCCCCCTAATAGCAGTAAAGTACACCTAGAATCTTAATCTACTTGCAATTGCATGAATATCAAATTCTGTTATTACATTATGACAGAAGCTGGTAAGTAAAGTGAAAAGGCAAGGATGAAGAGAGAAACTGGAAGTAGAAAAAGGGCAATGGAAGTAGTTGAAACCCAATAATGTGTCATAACTCTCATAAGGACCACCTACTTCAAGGAATGCACAAAACATGGGGAAGGGGGGGGGGGGATTTTTTTTCCTAATTAATAGTTCCATAATCAACATACAGCTATTAGACAACTGATCGAAAGTCGAAGGATATCGTTTTCCGGGTTTGATTAGTATTACATTTTGCACCTTAGTTTGTGCAGACTATGATTAGATAAAGTGCAAGACTCTAGAATTGTGAAACAATATAAAGAATAAACCTTACAAATGGCTTAAGTATAAACCTTGTACTATGGCGATATGGCCATCATAAGCTTTGTTAGTCAAAATACATGGGAAAGTTACCTAAATATCATAGCATTTTTGAAGGAAAATAAAAAAAATCAACTTTAAGGCTTTGTTCTTTACACTTTACAACAAATAAGTTTAAAAAAGTACTGTTAATTGCCAAGCATGGCCCAAATAAAGGCTAACCCAAGTTCATTTCACGGCTACAATTCAGATAAGTTCCAATAAATTCAAACAATAATCAATAAGAAATTCCAATAAGTCATTGTTGGGTGAAAAGAAAGAAGCCCAAGACAGCTAAATGCCAGGGGCAGAAAAAAGGAGAAGACTGGTTATCTTATGTATGCTTTAACCACTACACTCCTAGGAGCAGCTGTTTAAGACGATTAAGAGTGCACCATCCTTACAAACAACCGTAACATAATCTTACAGAACACAGAGCTATACACTCACAGAACCCACTGAACAAACAATAAAACAATATGGCAATCCATAGACGTCATAACTTATGAAATCAGCACCGAAACGAAATTTATGTAAAAACAGCATTTCAAGTAAAAAAATTTACAGTTGATTTTGTATTAACTAGTACGAAGTAATTAAAAGAGTAATTAATAGAGGAAATTTGATCAATAATGTTATTAGCATGATGGGATCAGGAAAAGGCCATCACATTTACAGAAATAAGACAAATAAAGAGGACATCAAAATTAAAACATAAAAAGACGCTTTCACAAGACAGGGAGAGTAAGAAATTTTCACCTTTTTCTAAATTAAGTCACGCAAGACCTAAACATGACCACTAATCAAAAGTTGCCGTGAAAGGTCATAGTACATAGTAGCACCCAGCATTAATACTTTTAAAACTTAATGCCTTCTTCAACAACTGTTCAAGTTCTGCCATGAGAGCTCATGATGGCAGACTTGGCAGTCGAAGCTATTATTAAGCAAAAAGCAGGTTGTCACGGAAGGAGGTTCTGACAATTTAAAGTAGTGGTTGAGAATGGTGAAAATTGTAACACTGCAAGAATGATGTGACCATGACTCATATCCAAGATGTGACGCCACACTCTACCGTTACCAAGAGGAAAAGCAGAATAATGTTGCCCTGTTGAGGACCCGGAGGTCATGCACTTTAGGCCAAGAAATCAGCATCCACACAAAGAAGGGCAAAATGAAAACAGTTTAAACCTTCGTCCACTTTCCCATACTTTCATAGTGTCATTGTTTGATGATAAATATTTTGTATTATTCAATAATTATTGATGTCGGATGGATCTGGAATATGATCAGAACTTCTGACTATTCCCATCAAGTGTTCAAGGACATTATATATCTCAGCTTTCAGAGGATGATGATGAGTGTCTCCGGCAACAAACTCATTCACCTCACTTGCCACCTCAACTGAACTGCAACCAGGCACCCGGCGACACTCTATGCGATCTCTTACCATCATTTTTTCATACCAAAGCCCCCTTCCAGCATACATGTTTGACAAGGCAACATCATCACCAACATGTGTTGGATCCAAGTTCAATAGCTGCAATCGAACCTTTGCAGCAAGCTCAATATTACCATGATTACAACATGCTCCTAGCAACATCCTCCACATCAGTGCATTTGGCTGAACTAGCGTTCCTGATATAAAATCATAAGCCTCCTCCAAGAGCCCAGCTCTGCAAAAAAGATCTACCATGCAGCCAAGATGAGCTAGCCTTGGCCATAGCTCATAATCTTCCATCATGCTTTTGAAATACTGCTTACCTTCCATTACCATCCCACCATGACTACAAGCCATAAGAACCCCCAAGAAAGTAACATCATTGGGAAGCACAAATGATTTACTGCCCTTGTCAGAACTTCTAGTTTGTTTCATTCGTGCAAACATACCAAGAGCCTCTAGAGACTGCCCATGTAGTGCATGCCCAACAATCATAGAAGTCCATGTAAATACATCTTTTTCCCCAGAGATGCAAAAAAATCTGCGTGCAGCTCTAATCTGTCCACACTTGACATACATATCAATGAGAGCATTATAGAGGCAGAGATCAATTTTGAGCCCATGTTTACGGTAAGTATAAGCATGAATTTGCTCTCCCATGGACAATGCACCAAGATCTGCACATGAAGCTAGAGCAACAGTCAGTGTAACATGATCGGGCTCAAATTTGTTTATTAGCATCTGCTTGAATATTGCAAGGGCTTTGCTAGCCATATTGTTATCGACATACGCAGTTATCAAAGAAGTCCAGCAGATTGCATTTTTGCAGCATACTTCATCAAACATACGATGAGAACAACCCACATCCCCCATCTTTGAGTACAATTCTATCAAACATGTCTGGAGAAATATCACAGATTCAAAGCCCACTTTCTTGACAATGGCATGCAATTGACGTCCCTCAACTATTAAGGACTCTTGATTACAAGCCTTGAGAGCAAACAAAGATGAGTATCTGTCCACAGCAGAAGGATTTTGCCTCCAAAGTTTTCTAAAGAATACTATAGCTCTTGCAGCAGAATGGGTCTTGAGATATTTTTTGAGTGTTTGATTTGCTTTAGGTGGTCTGAGCAAATCTTGGAGCTTAGATTTGGGTTGACTACTTGTAAATAAAGAATTTACCACCTTATGGATATATGAGACTCTATTCATATATATCATACTCACCTGCACAAAAATTCTGGCCTCGCTATTCTTTCACATGCTATGAACTGGCAGCTTTACTTGACAGACAATATAAGAAAGACCTGTTCAAGCACGAGTGCACAACGATAAGCAATCAAATAAATCATACATTAACAACTAGAAAACTAGCCATAACTGACTCCAAAAATAAAACTAAATAACTAGGATACAAGGCAATACGATGATTAATTCCTCAACAAGAGCATGAAGAGCCAAAGTTCAAGGTTTCATTTAACTAGAGGAACTTCTGCAACACTTAACAAAAAAATTTCCAAAAACTTATACAATCAGAAACAAGAAGGATTCATTCAGTCTCAAAACATTTTAAATTGAAAGAAACTTGGTCACCTAGCAGGGGTAGCACCACCAGTAAAACTCAGAGATGCTAAACTGGTTCATCAATGCACCAACTTATTTTCTTTCTTTTTTGGAAATCTACACAGTTTTTGTTCTTTTTTTTAAAAAAAAAAAAAAACATTGAACCAATATTCAAACTATTGGTAGTAATTAACATAAGTAGAATTTAAAATAAGTACCATAATAGCAAAACAAAAACAGAATTGTATCCATTTCCTTTTTCTTTTCTTTTTTTTTTTTGGGGGGGGGGGAGGGGGGATTCATGTATAATTGAACTTAAAATTAGCCAATGCAAACAGTACTGAGTACAACAGGCATTTTTTTTTCCTCACCCATGGTTTTATCATGTCTCTTATGACTTATGAGGGTAAGAACTTCACAAGACAGTCGGGAATCTAATCACATGTACACATCTGAGATCCTGGTCAAAAAGAAGGGTGTAACATCATCTTCTTCAACAGTTAGCCTTTCCTATTCTGATCCGAAGAAGATGGGAAAAAAAAATAATATCAATTGGCATAAGGACTACTTGTATTTTAGGCTTCCCCTCCCAAGATACACTTGGAAATCTCAGCTGATAGAAGCCTAAATAGAAGTGTACGTCACCGGAATGTGGCATCCTTCCATATATTTCTCAATACATTGCCTATTTCACGAATCAACATTAACAAATAACATATTGCCTCCCAACTGTTTGGGAAACATCTGTTTGGACCATGCAGCACCTAAGCCAAGTATATCCTCAAAGCACTTCAAAGCCGATTTGACATCCCCGATATCTTGGTAAGCCTTGTGTAGGATTGGGTATATGACTGTGTCAGGCAAGAAGCCTAATTTGAACATATCAGCCTGCAACATCAATAAATTTTGGACATGCAGAGCTCGAGCACGGCCCAGAATAATGATCATGTATGTGATTACATCAGGTTTCAAATCAAGATTTCGCATATCTGAGAAAATTTTACTAGCTCTAAGCATTCTTCCTTCTTTATACAGACCTTGTATAAGAGCCGTATATGCTACATGATTAAAAGGACTTGTTCTATTGTCACACTGATTTTGAGTGCCTTCACAATGTACAGAGATAGTACCCTTTAAAAAAAAATTGAATGCATCATTAAGACGCCCATCTTTGCACAACCCGTCAATGAGACAACTAATTGTGAAACCATTAGGGATGAGCCCTTCCTCCTGCATTTCTTTATACATGCCAAGAGCACCCTTAGTGTCAGCATTTTTGAAAAACCCATCGATTAAATCTGTATAGGTCACAACATCAGGCAAAATTCCTTTGATTACCATCTCTGAGTATATGCCCTTTGCAGCATCCACATTCCCTTTTTGACAGTATCCATGTATGAGTGTAGAGAAGGTGATAGCATTAGGTTCTATACCTTTTTCTATCATTTGTGAGCATAGCTCCAGAGCTTTATCCATGTTGCCTTGTTTGCAGTGTCCACCTATAAGAGAGTTGTATGTCACAGAATTCACAAGAATTCCTTCATCTTTCATCTTCAAAAGTAGATCATCTGCTTCTTTCACCCTACCTACTTCAGATAAACCCTTTATGAGAATACTATAAGTAAAAACATCTGAAGGGATACGAAAAGTTTCCATCTCGCCATACATAGCCAGAGCTTCAGTGAGATTTCCAGCCTTACAGAGTCCATCCATCAAACTATTGTACACAAATACATTAGGAGGAATACCAGCCTTCATCATACAAGGGAAGAGGCTTCTTGCAGTCTCCACTCTACCATTTTTGCAAAAACCATCAACTAAAATTCCAAATGTAACAACATTAGGCACCAAGTTATGGCTCAGCAAATCCCTATATAGTCCCATAACACGTGGCAAGTTGGCTATTTTACAGTGTCCATCCATCAAAACATTGTAAGTGTATAAATTGGGAATTACATCAGACTCTTTCATTACCCTAAATAAATCATCCCCTTCTGACAACCTATCCTCATTACACAACCCACGAATCAAAGTCGTGAAGATAACAACTGTTGGTTTGAACCCTTTCCCAACCATTTCATCAAACAACTCTTGTGACTTCCCAATGTCCCCTTCAACACAACAGGCACCAATCAAAGTACCATATGTAACAACAGTAGGAACCATCCCCTTCTCAGTCATCTTGTCATAAATTCTCCAAACCGAATCAAACCTACCCGCCTTAACTAACCCATTCAAAAGTGCATTACAAGCCTGAATTGAAGGCAATTCTTCAATCTTATAATAAACCCAAATGGCTTGATCTATAAGACCCATCTCAGATAATGCAATCATTAACACTCCAAACACATTTTTATCAAATTTAGACTCACCAACCCGACTCAAGTCCTTAAAAACAATGGAACAAACACGGGAAGGTGGGCAGGTCAAGAGAAGATGCTGGATGAGGCATTTTAACAAACACCTTGCCTGCAAGTACCATTTAGCCTTGCTTAAAACATGAACAATCACCGAATGAGCTCGGCGAGTCTTCGCTACATCAATCGACATTGACACTGAATTGAAGTAATTCAATGCTTGATCAGGGGTTTTGCTACCAAGTATCCTATCAATGACCTTAGACATATAATCATTCGATGAAGTAGTTGAAGAATAATTGCTCATACTTAAACATGCTAAAGATTTCTTTAAACAACAAAAAATTGTTTTCTTTGGTGAATAAACCCTCAACATTTGCTCAAATTAACTGAAAAACCCTCAAATTACCCAATGAATGCATTAAATTTCTAAGTTATGATCAATCAAATTTCTGGGTTTTTATGTACATTGTTAAGAAAAAGGTGGGAAAGTGAGAAATTACCTCAACGAAATTTAGAAGGAGGATTTGGGGATTTGAAGTTGGGAAAAAATATTGTTTAGTCTGAAAAAATTAGAGTAATAACTAGGGTTAAGGTTCGAAAGCAAGAAGAAGAAGTAGAGAGAAGAATAGATGAATGGAGGAGAGATAAAATACCGGGTTGCTGCAAATAGAAGGTAGATGATGCGGTGATGCCGCCGGAGAAACTAGGACTGCTCGAACAAGAGAACCGAAGTTGAGGAACTATAGTTACTAGTCTAATCTACGGGTGACTCAACAACGACCAAATAATGACCCGAACATAAATTAATGCGGTACCCGACCCGAAATTTATTTAACCCGGTTCACCTCAACTTAGGCCTTGTTTAGTTCACCTTATTTTTACTTATTTCAGAAAAAATAAGTTCAGATCAGATCAGAAATAATAAGTTCAGATAAGATCAGATCAGAAAAAATAAGTTCAGATCAGATCAGACCAGAAAAATAAATTCAGATCACATCAGACCAGAAAAAATAAGTTCAGATCAAATACAAATTATTATTATTATTATTATTATTATTATTATTATTATGATTATTATTATTATTAATTATTATTATTATTATTATTATTATGGTTATTATTATTATGATGGTTATTATTATTATTATTATTAATTATTATTATTATTATGGTTATTATTATTATTATTATTATTATTATTATTATTATTATTAAATATCACAAACAATAAACGATAATAATTAAAATTTCATTATAAGCTCCAAATCATAAACGTTTACAAATATAATTTTCATTACAAGAAGTTCCAAATTTCCTTCGCTATATTAAGTTGTACTTCGTTCATTATAGCTTTACGATTCTCGTTAAACAAATCATAATCTGCTCTTGGTTCGATTTCTATACCACTATCAATGGGTATATCCAACTCATGTAATCGAATAAAATTGTGAAGTGTGAATGTAGCAACCATAATTGCCAATTGATGTTTAGTGTCCATATTTGGCATCATTATCAATATTTACCATCGAGATTTTAATTGTCCAAAACATCTCTCGATCATTGTTCGAAGTGAAGAGTGAAGATAATTAAAAAGTTCAAGTATGCCTTGAGGTGGTGGACCATTTTGAAATTTGGGCATATGGGTTCTAATATCTTTATCTTTTATTGGACTCAAATATCCAATGGTATTCAGATATCCGGAATCTACTAGATAATATTTTCCTGTTACAAAATAAAGTTATACGGCATATTAGTATAGTGTCATGTATGGAGTAAAAACATACACTATTTTAAATTTTCACGGGAAGTAATAAGCAAAAATAAGTAGTAAAGTACATTGGAAAGATAAATTTACATTGGATATGGAAAAAAGTAGACGGAGGGAAATAACAAAATAGGATAAACATTTTGGGACTAAAATTTAGCCAAAAAGGACTATCAATAAGGGACGGAGGGAAAACATAATACTTTGCTTTTTCCTAGAAACACCCTCTTCAGATCAAAACAATAATACTTGATCAAGTGGTTTTAACAAAAATATTTGAATATCTTCTTACAAAATATTACTTTTTTTCCTACAAAAAAAAAATCAATAATAAACGAGCCTAACGTTTCCTATACAAAAAAATAATATCTTCGTACAACATATTATGTATATTTTCATTTTTTTTAATTTCATATTTTTGATAACAAACCTAACGATTCCCATAAATAATTTTTTTTAAATTTCATATTTTCTTTCCTCCTATTCTGTCAAATACTTTTGCTTTATACAATTTTTTATTCTTCCACTTACCCCACAAGCTCCATATATTATTACGTTTACCAATTTTTCCTAAAACATGTAGAAATGGAGAAGGTATTTAAAATCGAAGGGAGTATACATATAAGGTTTTCAATAATAATAGCTACGCATTACTTTAATTAAAATTAGTACAAAATAACATAGAAAGGTTGCTAGTTCAAACAAACGATAAAATCAAATCCGATACATCATAAATCCATATTATTATTTAAGAATTAAGGTATTTGAAAACAAGTCAAATCTCTTTTTTCTATATAGAAAAAAGCTATGATAAATTTAATTTGTAATTTAGTTTTTTTAGGATCCCCATTTTAATGCTTTTTTATAAAAAAAAATTCATTTATGAAGTGGGATATTCTAAATAATAAAATTATCAAATATTCCAATTCTATTACCTTATACTATCTACTAATTTTAATACTTATAGGTTTCTTTAAAAAATTTGTAGGTCTATACTACTACTACTACTACAACAACAACAACAACAACAACAACAACAACAACAACAACAACAACAACAACAACAACAACAACAACAACAACATAATAATAATAATAATAATAATAATAATAATAATAATAATAATAATAATAATAATAATAATAATAATAATAGTAATAGTAATAAAAATAAAAATAATAATCATAGCAATAATAATAAAACATTAATATTGATTAACATTAAAAGTAGAATATTGAAATAATTAAAATAAGTTCAAATAATAAAAAAAAAAAAGTTCAAATCAGATCAGGTTAGAAAAAATAAGTTTAGATCAGAAAAAATAAGTTCAGATCATATCAGATCAGATCAGAAAAAATAAGTTCAGATCAGATCAGAAAATATAAGTTCAGATCAGATCAGATCAGAAAATATAAGTTCAGATCAGATCAACTTAAATCAGGTGAACTAAACAAGGCCTTACTCTTGCTGGAATGAAATTATCTTTAGGAAAAATTAATAAAAATAATCCGAACTATTGACCCTCTTCTCATTTTAATCCAAACATGTTCTCTTCAACTTATTTCAAATACTTATTACTTATTCCTTAATAAATTCATATCAGATCAGACCAGAAACATTCAAATCAGATCAGATTAGAACTTTAAATTATCATTTACTTGTTGCTAAATATCATTAATTGCGTATTATAAAAATTATGAAAATTACATATTTGAAAAGTTCATAATGAGACTAATCTAACAAGATCCATTTTGATAATATTTTTCTTTATAGATTAGTATTAAAATGCGGTCAAAGTTTAGTCAAATTGTTAAATCGGATCAGACCGGATCAGATAATAAAAATTTAGATCAGACCTTATGAAAATCAGATCAGATTTCCTTATTTCAGGGAAAAAGTTAGATACCTGCTAAACAGGTTAAACAACTCGTGTAGGGCCCACTTTTTAATTTTTTTTTTAATTGCATTTACTCCTACTCTCTCCTCTTAACCCCCCCAAACTATAAGTACCATTTTCATGTCTTTTCTGAAGCTTGGGGTTTCCTCCATGAAAGTGCCTTCATCAAAGAACAATTTCACACATGTATGATTATTCGTCTTCGAATTTTGTCTTCAAATTTTGTAAATTTCCAAAAAAAATTCCCCTTGATATCTAATTATGTATTTCCTTGCTTCTAATATTCCATTAAAATTCAATTGCAGTTCAACTTATTGGAACTCAAAGGCAAAATATATAATTTGATATTCACTGAGCTTAGAGGCGAGACGAGACGAACATTGGTTTGTGGACATGGTAAGCTTCGCTGAGCATCGTGGTGACAATCCACCTCAAGCCATAATTTTGATGAATGAGTTGAGGCAGATGAGTGGCTAAATGAGTTTGCACTAGAAGACATGGTTTAATTTTGGAAAGAGGAACCAAAAAGATGAAATCTTGATGGTGACCAGAGGAAGATGAAATAGAAGTAGAAGATGGTGATTTATGAAGAAGTAGTAAATGGTTCCAAAAATGAACGGTAGAGGAGTAAATGCAATTATAAAACAAAAGTGGACCCCACATGAGTAATTTAACTTGCTTAGCAGGTTATTAACTTGCATAGACTAATTTGAGCAACTACCCCTACACATTGGTTTATTCTAATTTAAAGAGTAGTTTGGATTAAAATGAGAACATGGTCAATAGTTCGGATTATTATTGTTAATTTTTCCTTATTTTTATTGGATTGAAATTATTAAATTATTTTTACTCAACTAAAATTAATTTTACTGAACTAAAATTATTTTTGCTGAGCTGAAATAATTTTTAATAATTCTCTATTATATTTTTTCTCTAAAGTTTCTAATTTTTACTAAATTGAACTTAGGTCCCGTTCACTTCACCTTATTTTTGCTGAACAAAAATTAAATTTACTGAACTGAAATTATTTTTGCTGAACTGAAATTATTTTTACTAATTCTCTATTATATTTCTGCTACAATTATTGATTTTTACTAACTGAAATTATTTTTACTGAACTAAACTTATTTTACTTAAATGAACTTATTTTTACTGAACTGAAATCAGTTTTACTGAATTTTTTTTTTTAAGGTGAACTAAACAGAACCTTATTTTTATTGAACTGAACTTATTTTTACTTGAATATTTTTTTTAAAGGTGAAATGAACATGATCTTACTCCCTTCGTTTATTATAATGATCCGCCTAGATTATTTAGAGACATATTTAAGGGAGTAATGAGTGTTGGGATGATAATGTCAGGGAACATATTTCATGGGAGTAAGTTTAGAGAAGGTTTGGCATGAGGGTAGTAGTTGGTTTTTTTTTTTTTTTTTTTTTTTTTAGCGGAAACAACAATACAACAAAACACACGTGACAACTACATTAAGTAATAAAGCCCCAGAAATGACCAATGCGAGCACGCTTCACACGAGCTAACATGTTGGACTCCAGTTCAAGAGACGAAGTTGGACATTGCTTGGAGCCCACATGATCCATCCTGCAACCTACAAAAATAAACTCTATGATTCAAGCAAGAAGAAACCTTGAGCCTTGATGACAAAGGTGGAACTTAGTTTTTAGGACCCTAAAGATTACCTACAAACCCCTGAGAAGTTGCCCCTTTTGGAGGACTAACTTGAAATGTCGAGGTCTTGATCAACTCTTCTGAAACATGATTTGTTGTTGCATCAATTATGGACGATTGAAAAGAAGCACACAAGACCTTTTGAGAGGGGATCCCTTGGTGCATCGAACCACAAAAAGGAGGGATCGAAGGAATTGAGACCTCAACAAAACTAAGCACATCACCATGCGTAAGACGCTGCAAATTAGAGGATGTAATTTAAAGAGATGAATCAAAACATCCACAATACAGGATCACAACTGGTGCTGGCCTAGTGCAAACCATTATCCCGCCGTAACAACTTCATAATAAATTCATTGTCCAAATCTTTAGGAACCGTTTCATCCAACACTAGCGGAGAAACCCCACTAATAGGAGTTTCAATATCACATTCCATGTTATCCCCACTAG